TGAAAATAGCTCTGCAGTGGACAGCATGCTGAGTACTTCACACACCTTATCTCATTCAGTCCTCACAAACCCCAGCAAGTGGAGACAATGATGGCTCCATTTTTGTAGATGAGAAAATTGAGGCTCAGTAACTTGTTCAGGGTCTCTTGCCACTGTATTGTTCTTTAACCTGCACTAGAGGTAAACGGTGTTAAGTAAACAAAGGGAAAAGAAAAATACACATGACCTTGGGCCCCGCCTTTGGGGCCTCAGTTTCCCCTGCTGTAAAATGAGAGAAATGTTTAGATCTTTGAAGTCCTGGTATTTTGGGATGTTTTGAACACTTCAGTGAATATAAGACTTCTGGAACTCGCAAGTCCAATGCCTTCTCTGTCCATTCTGTGGGGATAAATGTGTATTTCTGTTTGTTTTAATAACATTTGTAGGAGCTTTATATAGTGTCTATGTCTGCTTACATTAGACGCTGTGTATTATAGTTAAGAGTCTTTCACTGTTTCCCATATAAACCTTGTGGGGTTTTTTTTTTTTTATGGGTTTGGGAGAGCTCAGCTGTAAAAACTCAGCTTTAAAAAAAAAAAATTTTTTTTCCCAAACAAATTCAGTTTAAATCAAGAGACTGGTTTCAGACACTTTAGAGCATGCATATTTTTTTCTTCCCAGTCACTTTTCATTTAAAAATGAGATTGGCTGATTTCTTAGTTTCATTTCTTTTATGAGGATTTAGCAAGACCATAAGCTTAGCTGCTGGTTGCGTGAAGAGAAAGGATGAATAGCCTTTTCCAAGACAGCCCTGGGCCTGGAGTCTCCAGGCATCCTTCTGATCCCTCGACTGGCTGTGTGACCCTGAGCTGATCACTTTACCTCTCTGGGTTTTCCTTTCTCCTTCCATCCATGAGGAGCCATAATCCCTACCCCTGCTTCCTTCTAGTTTCTAGGGAGGAAAATGTGATTAGAGAAGTGAAGGTATCAAGGAAAGGTGAATGACCTATACAAACATCAGAGGCTGGGGCAAAGAATAACATTCTGAATTTTCCACCAGCAGAAAATGGATTCCTAGATTCAGTGTTACAGCTGGGAAAGAATCTGGGGGTCAAGAAACTCACCCCTTCATCACTATATACATGGATCCACTCTGAGTGAGGATAGAGGAAGAGGATTCCAGGTGAGTCGGAATCACAGATTCTTCCCCCAAAATCCTTTCTTTCTCTACCTTACTTTACCAAGGAAGATCAGATTAAGAGGCTGTATTTGCACATACGTACATACATACATACATACATCCTGGAGGTACTCTGAAATGTGGGGGAAAGCCATGTCTCTGGAGACAGCAAGACCTGCCTTTTGATCCACGCTCTGTCAGCCTTTATGGTCCATGTGACCTTGAACAAAGTCCTTCACCTCTCTAAGCCTCAGCTGCCTTAGTATCAACCTCACACAGTTCCCATTAAGCTTAATGAAATAATTCATGCCAAGAGCTTTCATAATTTCTTTAATTAATTTTAGCTTTGTTGTTATTTCATGCATTAATAGGTTTTAAATGTGAGAAAAGTATTTATTTATCTTGTAGAAGGAAAAATCAACTCTTCAAGACCAATATTTACTATTGTATGTTAATTGGTGCTGATTATATGGATTATTTCTTACTCATTATGTTTATACCCACAGCTAGGTACTCAATTAACGTGTACTGACTAAACAGCGTACTCAGAGTACACTGGCCATAGGTGAAATTAAAAGGAAATTGCAGCTTACTTTTTTATTGTAAAACTAATACTTATTAATTGTATAAAAGAAAGTAGATGCCCTAGCTCAGTGGTCAGCAAACTCATTAGTCAACAGAACCAAATATCAACAGTACAACGATTGACATTTCTTTTTGAGAGCCAACTTTTTAAACTTAAACTTCTTCTAACGCCACTTCTTCAAAATAGACTCGCTCGGGCCATGGTATTTTGTGGAAGAGTCACACACAAGGGGCCAAAGAGTCGCATGTGGCTCGAGAGCCGCAGTTTGCCGACCACGGCCCTAGCTGGTTTGTCTCAGTAGATGGAGAGTTGGCCCTCAGACTGAAGGGTCCCAGGTTTGATTCTGGTCTAGGGCATGTACCTCAGTTGCAGGCTTGATCATTGGTTGGCCCAGGTTGGGGCGCATGTAGAAGGCAACCAACCCATGAATCCATGCATCTCTCGCACATCGATATTTTTCTCTCTCGGTCTCTCCCCTTCCCTCCCACTCTCTCTAAAAATCAATGGAAAAATATCCTAGGGAAAAGAGTAGGGGGAAAAAATACCTACACTGGAGGAAAAATCAAAATTATCCTTATTCCCTCAACTCAGAGGTAGAGGTATAAATGTCTTGATGTATATTCTTCCACTTCTTCTCCATGAATGATACTTATGCATTCATTAATTTACTTTTACATAAAACAGGTCATGATGGACAGTCTTCAGTAACCTGGGAGAGCTTTTATTCCCCCTCAACATAATCTATAATGAACAATCTCCATGTCAACCCTCACATTTTTTTTCTAGTAGCTGAGTAGTAACCCACTGTACGGATGGATTTCTTTAACCAGTTATAATTCTGTAATTATAGCCCATCTGGGTCCTTTCCTATTTTTCACTCCTTATTAGACTAGTCCTGTAGTTAAAGGTTTGTAACACCAATGAGTATTTCCTTATGAGAAATTCCTGGAATTTACTTTTAAGCTCATGATCATTCCATTCCCCCCCACCTTTAAAAAAAAAAAAAAAAAAAAAAAAGGTGATGCCCTTAAAAATAATAAAATAATAATAATGGCACTGCTTCTGCCACAGCCGGGTTGAGGTAGGTTTCTGGCAAACAGCCTTGAACCGTGGGAGAGAATAAGAAAGCAAAGGCCAGGCTCTAAAGCCATTTCACAGGAGGGGGACTGAAGAAGGGTGAGAGGCTCGGTGAGAAGAGAGGAGAGACAGCCCAGAGACCGGTTTCTTGGAACCCGGAACCACTCCGTTCCTCTCCAGGGGTCCCACTTTTCCAGTCCTGACGTGGGGGCTGAGCATTATCTAAGCCCCCCGGAATGAGGCTTGGGGAAAGTGGGAGGACATCCCAGCGACCCCGCAATGGGCATGTCCCGGCTCAGCTCCCAGGTCCTAGGTCTGAGGTTGGGACCGACGTGGCTGGGGCTGAATTTGAGGCTCCACCCGCTCCTCAATGGGGGTTTGGGCCCGGGCCGCTGGGGTTGCCGAGCAGGCCTGGTTAGGCAAACGTGGCTGGGGCTGCGCAGGCGGTACCTACCCCTCGGCGTCCTCTCTCCTTTCACTAGACGGGACGCAAGAAAGGGGACCCGGTGCGCATTCTTCCCGTGCCTCGGATACTTTGGAAACTAAAAATAGCCCCGAGAGCGGCGCTCGGCATTGAGACTGAGGATGGTCTGAAAACCGAACTGCAGTCCTGGGTTCGAATCCCAGTAAGGCCCCCTCCGTGCTGGCGCAGGTCGGTCGGTTTGCTCCTTGAGTCTCAGGGTCTCAGTGCGTGCGTGCGTACCAGGATTTCTAAGGGGCTTTCTAGCTCTAGGAAAGGGAAAGAAGAAGAAGAAGAAGAAGGAAAAAAAAAAAAAGAAGAAAAAAACCACGATTTTTGTTTTCTGCTCTGCCCGAGGGACCTTCGGGCCTGGGGCCGGGAACTGAGGCCGGGGGAGGGGTGTGCCAGGACGGCTCATTACTGCGAGGTGTTGCCCTAGTTAAATCACCGGTCTGTTTGATCTGGAGGCGGGTGGCGAGAGGGAAAAAAGAAAAAAGTAGGGGGGTGGGAGTGGAGAGAAGCTCACACCTCCCCCACCATTTCCTCACGTCCATAAAACACCTTTTATTAACTCCTTCGTGTCCGGAAAGGCCCGCGTGGCCGCTGTGCTCCTGCCACGGTGTTTACAGCCAAGACTAATGGGGCCCTATATTCACCCCGATGCTGGGACGAGGCGCCTGGGCACACCTGGCCCAGAGCGGCCGGGGGTCTCCTTTCTGGACCCCCAGCTCCCGATGTCTCGATTTAACCATTCCCACGCGCGTGTTCCCCCAGAGGGAACATCAGAGACCCGTCCAAGCACTGCAGACTATGCGACCCTCGGGCAATCATGGGAGCTGTTCAGAGGCATAAAAGCACTTAGCCTAGTGCCTAGCACAGTTGTGCGCAAGCAAAGCAAAACTAGGTTGTCTGTACTCTTATTATCCAGGGACACATAACAGTCTTCTTTTGCTCACCCCGGTTTAGCCCTGGGTGAGCTAAAAGACGCACCCTCTTTTATGCATCCCACACCCAGCCCTGGGTGTGCATGTGAGAGCACAGAGATGGCTCTCCTACACAAGTGGCGGAACTAGCACGCAGGACCCTCACCCCTTTGCACAGTCCATACGCCCTCACAACTCTTTGTTGAATGTGTTGTTGCCGGAGAGAAACCTAAATGTCTCCATGTAACCATTCACAAGCTTATTTTGCTCTCGTACAAAATAAGAGCTGCTTCAGCTTGTCGAGCCCTTACTTCGCGCCAGGAGCTCTGCTAAGCCGAAGCTCCCGTTGGCCCTGGCACAGGCACTGGGCTCTGAGCAAGTTTCCTCTCCTCACCGTTACCTACACAACCGTGTTCCTCATTTACTATGGGTAAACTCTGTAGGCTTGAACACACCCCTCTCTTCCCAGCTTCACTGCCCTCTCCTGACCACCTCAACAGACTTTCTTCTGACACCAAGTGCATACTAACCCGGTGTTAGACCCACCTAACCCTCAGCCCGGCAATCTGGGTCTAATTCCTTTCTAGTTTTCCTTTCTGTGGGGTCACTAAAGCTATCCTGTTCTAAGGAGAGCTTTGTTCTTCCTTCAAGGAATAAGTCCTTTCTCTGCCCCCTCCCCTTGACATGACTTGTAGTTTGGTTTGGCATTTATCTAAAAAAGTAGGAGCAGGAGGCTCTCTACCTAGCAGAAACAATGAAGCCAGGGATACCCACCAAGACACCACACAGGCTTCCTCCGATTTCAGAAAATGTTTTATTAGTCAAGAGCGTAGATACTGCTTTGGCGAAGGGAGAGGGCGGTGAGTGGTCATATAGATTTGAGGTAGAAAAAGGGTGGGGTAGGGGAATAGACAAACACCTGAGCACAGCAGGCATCGTAGGTAGTTTAAATACATAAAAACTTTTCAACATTGGGAAAAGCTTTTATTTACAAATGAAGGGAGGGGAAGGAGCCAGGGGGAGGAAGGAAGGAAGAAGAAAGAAGAAGAAAAAAGGAGAAAAGAAAGGAGAGGAGGAAGGGGGGAAATGTGTTTCCCTTGGAACTAAGTAGGAAGTGCAGCGACAAAAGTAAAAAATAAAATCACCACTGTTTGAGGGAGATCAACAACAAAAGGCAGCCCTCCGTCTTCACGATCTGGTTCTCCGTTCTTGGCAGTAAACTATTGATTCCACTTATTGCATTTTAATTAGGGAATTGAGCACTCCAGGGTTTTGATTGGAACCAGAGTGCATTAGAAAGAGAGCCAGATAGCTCGGTGGGGAAGGTGCTGGGGGTTCCAAATTCGCCCCAGAAGGGTTGCAGGGGTGCATCTTAGCCGCTCGTCTGTCCGGAGTCCCGCAGTCTCTCCCTCCCGACACAGTGCTGCCAAGAGCCGCCCTCCTGGTTATAGGGGTGGATATATATATTTCTCTTTCTCTTACTGTATTAAAAACAATTTCAAATGACATTGCACGTGCGATCCAAGTGTGTTGTTGCAGCCGACGACCTGCCGGCACACAGCAGAGGCTCGGCAGGACGCGCCCCATAAGGCCCGGGTCCCAGAGCCTGGCACTCTTTGCCCTCCTCTCCTCCCGGGCCTCCGGGGTCGGCCGCGGTGGTGAGGTCCTCCGCGCGGGCCTCGGCTCACTGGTTTAACTCCAGCGCCCAGACTTGCTGCGGCCAGCCTGTGCGCCCTTTAATCCTCTTCTCGCCTGGGCCCAGGGCAGGAGGAAAGCCTTCGTGCTGCTGCTGCCAGAGGACATGCACAGAGAAAGAGGCGAGAGAGACAGGTTTAAATCTTTCTGCTCCGGTCGCCAGGGCGCAGAGTGGGGTCGGGGAAAGGTGTTGGGAGCAGTAACGGGGAGCCTTTAAATAAGTGACGGATTTCTGTTTGCGAAATAGGCAAACAAGCTCATAAAATCTGCCTTAATGCGCCGTCTGGGGAGTGGGGGCGGTATGGGCTGGGCAGCTGCTGGGGGTTCCAGAACGAGAATTTTCTGTGTCTAGTGAAATTGATGCGCCTAGATTTGGCATGATGGCGCCCAGGAGAGACTGCAGGGATTGGGGATGGGAGGGGTGAGACCCCACAGTTTTCCCACCCGCGCTTCGAGGACTGCTCTCCCCACGGACTTTCCAACCTGGCTTAGCTCCTGGGCTTGGACACTACGTTGGATCCCCACCCGCCTGCTGGTGCTGGGTAGCTTCAGACAGCTGGGCGAAGGGTACTCGGCCGGGTCTGCCATCCCACTCCCCTTCCCCGCTCTCAAGCACAAACCAAGCCGTGATTCTTAAAAGAGGCGGTGAGGTGGGGAAGGTGGGAATACGCCCATTAACTACCGCCATTGAGGCGTCGTTGGGCCTGCATCTCCAGCTGCAAGTCTTTCCCAGTCTCCCCAGCTGAGCTTTCCCTAGTTTACCACAGCCTCTGCGGGTCAGACCAAACCCAGCGGGGCTCTCTAGTCAGCTTCCCGGGGGAACAGCCTGAGCCCTAGCATACTAACCTAGATAAACTAGTTCTCTAGCCTGGAAATCTCCACCCTCTGAGGTTCCACAGCTCTGGGCCAGCAGAATCAGGCTTCAGAAAGTGTCTCCCTCACTGGAGAGGATCGAGAAAGGCCAAGTAGAGACTGTGATCTCCAAAGCCAAAAGAAGGTAGGTAGTGAGACTCTCACTTGTAGATACTGACACACCAAACCATCAAGGTCGCCCATGGAACGAGCCCGTGGGAAGTGTGCTCTGGACTGAGAGTAGAAGACCTGACTTGTTTTACCCCAGCTGCACCTCTGACTCATCCGTCGGAGGCCTTCACCTCCAATCCTACCCCTGGCCTGTTTCCCTGTCTGTAGGAGGATGTAGGTAGACTAGCCTCTCCAGCAAAGGTCCTTTGAAAACAATAAGTCCATAAGCATAAATTCACACTCAGGCACATCAAGTAAGGAACTCCTACAGCATTCTTAAAGTGGCTTCCAGGAGAGCCAGGGATAGCTAAGGACCCCTCGAAATTGGAAGCGAAATATATGTGTATTTTCTCAGGGTCTTAAGCTTCCAGCGGATTCTTAAAAGGGACTCTATAGCTCCTCCAAAAAAGTTAAGACTATGTCTTAATTCACAGCCTTACAAACAATATCCCTCATGACGTTCATGTGTTAATCTTTCTCCCTCACGCACACAATCCCACATTTCAACCCTCTCAGAACTCCCCGCAGCCTCTCAAAATCTCACACACCGCCACACAGACTCCTCCATCGCGCGCTGCCTGCGGGTGCCCACCGCCCTCGGCCGGAGCTTAGAGGCCCCGAACTTACCAGCTCCCTTTTCCGCTTGCTCTCGCGCCCGCCATCCACCTTCTTGATTTCAGCCTTGAAGGCCTCGGGGTCACCGGCCTGTGCGTCCTTGGCCAGCACGTCCATCAGATAGGCGATGTAGCTGGTGGCCAGGCGCAGGGTCTTGATCTTGGAGAGCTTGGTGTCGGCCGGCACGTTGGGGATGCACTCGCGCAGCTCCGCGAACGCGCTATTGATGCTCTCGGTGCGCTTCCGCTCCTTCTTGGGTCCCGAGCCTTTCCGCCGGCCCAGGCGGCCGCCGAGCGCCTCCAGGCTCCCCGGGCTCTGGCCGGGCCGGGCGTCCGGGATGTAGGCGGCAGAGGCCGCCGCTGCGGTGGGTGGCGGCCCGCCGGTGGGGAAGTCCGGAGCGGCGTCAGGGGGACCCAGCAGCCAGCTCTGGAAGTAGGGCCGCTCCTGGTGGCAGCGCGAGGCCGGGCCGAAGAGGAAGGGCTCGTGGAGCACCGGGTGCGCGGGGTGCGGGTGGTGGTGGTGGTGGTGATGGTGCGAGTAGCTGCCCACGAGGTTCATGGTGGAGCGGCCACCTGGTCTGCACCGCCGGTCCCCTTAGCGCCGCCCCATGCACTCCCGAGGCGACCGAGGCCACCCGTGAGCTCGCGGCGGCGCTCCCGTGGGTGCGTGGGCTCCGGGGAGTCCCAGACGGCGGTGGGTGCACGGGCTCCGGGAGGGTCCGGGCCAGACAGCCTGCCGCTTCCGTGCCTGTGCCACGAGCTGAGGCTGCAGATACTGACGCGGCGTGGAGAGACCTGTTTAACCCTTCTGCGGCCTCCCCTGCAGGGTCTGGCTTATATAAGGCCACGGCTTTGATGTCAACCTCTCCCTGGAACCAATGGCAGGGGGGGTGGGGGTGGCCGTCCCTGTTTTTAAGCTCAGCTTGAGCCACTCGCCTCCAGGCTGCCTGCGGGGGCGACAGGGAGGCGGCCCGCCCCGGCCCCTCCCCCTCCCCGTTTTCGGCTGGGGTTGGGGAGGCAGGGGCAGCGTACTGGAGGCGCAGGCCTGTCAGCACCCCGGAAGGTGGTGGCCACCCGCACCCAAGGAGCCAAGGGGGGAAATCTAGAGTCACCTAGCGAAAAGGTCTTCTAGAGCCCACCCTTTGCCTTCACACGGGGACACTGAGGGCCAGAGAAAGCAAGCTTCTTGTAGACCCTCCAGAATTTAAAATGGGAACCCCAGAGCTCTCTAGTCCCGAACTCCATAGCTCCCCTTGGCGTCAGAGGCAGAAGACGAGGAGGGATCGCTGCTGGAGGCAGGGTAGGCCCCTGGCGTTCCTCCCCATCCTGCCGGAGTGGGAGGGTCGTGCGCCCGCCAACTCTCGCCAAGCCGTGTGCCCCGCAGCTGAGTGCGCCTCTGCGCAAGGAGCCTGGCCTCCTCGGACCACTCCGTCAAGTCACCGTCGCTTGAGAATGTTCGATTCTGTAAAAGACAGCAATGCCAAAGCTCACACCGCGAGAAATTAGCGGTGTGCGCGTACCAGAACGTCCACACTGACCACCAGGCTCCCTCGCGGGAGTAGCGCACCCTCGGAAACGCACAAGGACCCGTTTGGCCCTCCGCTGTTTCCCCGCAGCCGGGCCTGTCCCAGGCTCCGCTAGGAAGCTTCCCTGGGCTCCGCTCCGACCCGGAATTCCCAGAGTGATGGCGCTTCTGGCTGGGTTTTCTGTCTCACCTCCCATTGCAGTAGCTGCCAGCTAACGTCCCCCTGCCTGGATCACCTCCGCCTCGCCAGCCTTTCCCAGCCCCCCTTCCCCGGGCGGGGTAGAGGGAGTGTGCCCAACTCTCAAAACCAGTGTGGAGGTGAGGATGGAAGGGGAAGAGCAATATGTGGCTGCTCTTTTTACAGGACAAATTCATTTCTTTCCCCATTCGTTTACTAATTTATTGGTGTCCACTATGTGCCTGGCGCACTTAGTCCAAAGGCAGAGGGGGAAAGGCCGATTCTTTCCTGAACAGACAGAACAAGTGAGGCCCAGAGATGAACAATTTTCCTTGCGTCCCACAGCCAGTGGATACTGTTATTTCCTCTCCTGAACGAGGGAGTAAATGGGAAGGGGTGGGAGGTGCTGGGAGGGGGTATACTACAGGAGGGAAGGAGACAAACGCTTTGTCCCCAACGGCCAGTTACCCTGGTCCCCTAGGGCTGTGGGCCCTGGAGGTGCGTGGGGGAGGGAAGTCCTGGTTTCCTGCCTGAGGCTGGCTAGAACCCCGCCGCTCTCCGGGCGCCTGGCGCCAGCAGCGCTGGGGTTGGGCCCAGCAGAGCCAGAGGTTCAAGGGGAGGGAGCGCCGGCGCCCCATTCCACCTCGGCGCTGCGGGGTCCGCGCCTCCCGGGCGTGGAGGCTCTCCTGAGCGTGTTGGGAAGGGAGAGTAATTACTGTGTGGAGAAGGACCTCAGTCTTCAACACACACCCAGTCTTTGTCCTAATCCAGGCAGGATCTTCACTTAGAGCTCTCAATGTAGCACACCCGGCCCAAGATTACACATGCGCACATAATTGCACAGAGGATCACCCAAACGCACCCGCATACACAAAGGCCCATATGTTCATATGTCCAAACGTATATGTGTTCTCAGGATAACACATATACACCCACACAAGACAGCATTTCAACATTCATGCATTCCCAGGATTTTACACGTTATCTCTGTTACCCACCCACAGGCACACATCCCCGTGCAGAGAAGTTGCAGCTGAGCTCCTCCAAAGGTTCACCATCTTCCAGTAGAGGCACACACACATCCCACATAAATGACACACCTCTGTAGGGTGCTGCACAGCGTCTTATGTCACAATGTGCATGGGTGCAGTTTGTATTTCCTAACATTTCCCCACAATTGTATTCACAGCACAAACGTCCAAAAACTGCATCATGCCTTTCGTGTATTCTGTGTCACAACTAAACCTTCAGTCCCACAAACACATGCAAGTACACAGCCATGGTTACTACTATATAAGCAAAGGTGCTCAGAAATAGGTGTTTTCACATCTTTGCACATTACACACTGACACACACTCAGTTTGTCATATCTTCTGTCTTACATAGCCATGTGCACACATTGATGAAATGAAGTTGAACAATAGTATGCATGTTATCATAGCACCCACATGAATGAGGCACACTCACACAGGTACACACAGTTACCCACATACTCACACATTTATGCTCCAGCACCCATCCATGTGTCCCAGTCCCTTTCCTGTGGTTACACATCACCAGCTTGTTTAGTGGGATGGGGAATGCATTATCAGTATTGGGTGATGAGTCCCAGTTCCATCAGACCCCTTGAGGGCCCCAAGATTGACCTGTTTCCCCCCACCCCACATCCAGGTGGGTGCTTAAAGAGCAGGGTGCTCCCAGCCACCTGGGACCCAGAAAGTGCATGCCCCCCCCCCCTACTTCCCTAAAAGATTGTGAAGGATTTGAAGTGTTCAGATGAGAGGTGCCTGCTCTGAGAGTGAGACCCTGGGGAATCCCCGATCTCTGGGCTGGGCGGGCTCCTGCAGGATGGACGCCTGCGTAGACCACAAGGCGCCTTGGCTTCAAACCCGGCCTTCTGGGAGCCCCTGAGGCACTTTAACTCTAGCCTGACTTAGGCGCGTTTGGAAGAGAGGAATGGGATAGTGGGGACCTGGTGAGGGTGTTCCCTGCAGAGGGGCAAGGAGAGAGGCTGGGACCCAGGAGTTTGATCAGAATTGCTTTAAGCTGAGAGCAAGAGGTCTTCCTATCACCTCAGTATTCCTTTCCCTCTTCAGAGCCTCCATTTCTCTCTTCAGGAGGGGATAGGATCGATAGTCTGTAATTCCCAGCCCTGGCTCCCTCTCCCCACACTCCCATTTAGCACTTGGTTCTTGAGAGGATTCCATTCTCCCTGGGCCCACATCCATAGACCATGGACCAGTCTCAGTCTCCCCTGTCTCGCTTCCCCTCTGTGCTGCTCACCTAGATAGCACCTTTCGAAGGTCTGGCGCTCAGAGCATTACCACACATTGCTTCCTTCTGCAGTTGTGCTGGTGAGGTCGGACAAGAACTTCTCGCCCCATTTGATAAGTTAGAGCTTAAGCACATAGAGGTTGGAAAATTGTATTAAAGGAGTGTTGAAGAAAGCCTGGCCGTGGGATTGGACCCACTTGGGTTGAAACCCAGACAGAACTGTCCTCCTTCTACTCAGATCTTGTTTCCTCTCCCATAAATTGGGGTTGGGAGCTGGTGAGGGATACTTGGAGGTGGGTGAGACCTGGCATTGCCAGGTGTGGGGATGATGCTGCCAGAGACCTGAGTTCCAGTTCTAGATCCCACCCATCTCCATTTCCTTCGCTGTGATTTGTTTGTCTGTTTGTTTGTTTGTTTTGGGATAGTCTTGCATCCTCCAGGATTCAGTTCCCCCATTTGAAGAGTGGACCCTCTTTATATATTTTTTCTTGATTTATATTTTATTGATTTCATAGAAGAAGGGAGAGGGAGAGAGAAGCAGAAACATCAATGATGAGAAAGAATCATTGATCCGCCTCCAGCGTGCCTCACACTGGGGATGGAGTCTGCAACCCTAGCACATTGACTACCAAGCGGCTCTGACCTCCACACTCAACCACTGAGCCACCCTGCTGGCCACTGGACCCTCTTTCTTCAAGTCTTAGACCTCTGGAGTGACTGGGGCCTCTGCCTGGAGGCCCCTCTCCCCGCCCTTGGGCCACTTCTCCCCTCACTTCCACCCAAGGGACTGGCAGCCCTCAGAGAGCCCACACCGGCGCCTACCGCAAACCTTCTCCGCCTCCGAGTCTTCGAGTCTTGTGACCTTGACGCCACCAGCAATCCCCGCACCGGACCTCTTATCTAAATAGGGCCGTAAATCAAGGACCTGTCAGGGCGCGGGTAATTACAGGAACTCCATAAAAAGGACCCGGCCGGCCGCCTGTTTATATTAGCGCGGTGTAAAATATTCTCGCTGTCTTGGGGAATCGCGTCGTGCAGTAACGCGCCATAAATCAGCCCGTGGGCCATTTACCCCGCAGCTTGAGCGGGCAAATCCCTTAAACTTTTCTCTGCCGCATCTAAAGAGTGTCTAAGGTGCCTCGTTAGCGCAGTAGGTAGCGCGTCAGTCTCATAAAGAGTGTCTAGGACTTTCCAATCTGACCCAACCTTCTTCCCAAGGCCGGAGAATAGTCACGGCATGAGAGAAATAGGAAAAGACTCTTAGAAGCTGGTTGAGTGAGGCCTGGTTGCCTCGGCCAGTATGGGAAGGCAGGGCCAACAGGAACCAGCCTAGAGAGGGGAAGGCGCTTCCCAGAGGGCACACAGCCAGTAAGTGACAGAGGTGAGGGTAGAGACAGTCTAGGGGAGACTTGGGTTCCAAGGTAGCCTCTGTCTTTCCCTTATCCCCCCCTTTCCTGGATGAGGGGTGATCTTGCCAGGGAAGGTCCAAGTCACAAGCTGGATTCTCTACCTTTTACCTGGGTGCGTGGCGGGGCGGGGGCGGAGGGATCGCTGAGCTCCCTGCAGTTGCGCACAGTATGATTTATGAATGCTCCTGTGTGCACACAGGCCTCTGATCACCAGCCAGGTCCGGTCCCTAGTTTCGCAGGTGGCACAGCACAGGCCAGAGCAGGGCGCACACAGCCACAAATCAGACGCTCCACTGCTGAAATCATCTATTCTGGCTTATCTCCCTCACTCTCTATCGAAAAGAAAAACCAAGGGGTGGGAGGCGGCAACCCTATCCAGTTTCAGGTTTGTAACAGCCACAAACATACAAGATCTATTTAAGCAAACCTAATGCGGGCCATTGTCTAATGAGGACACAAAGCAAGCTTATGGAAAAAGAAGATTAAATTTTTCCGTGTCTTCCCTCGGGGCTGGGACCTGAGGATTCCAGGGAGAATTAAACATCTTCCTTCCCCATCCCTTTCCCTTCCGAAGTCTGTAAATGACAACGTGTTTACACAAGTTTTTATGTCGTCTGAGCTG